GTACGTTTTTATGTCTTCAGCTTTACAATAAGACATGTATAGCAGTCGCCGTCACAAAAGTAGTTATTTCTACGCACGTCAAAACAATAGTACACAATGGGCAACACGAGAAGCGCAGTAAAAAGTGCGCATTTCGCTCCCACCTCATTCCGTTTTTAACCACCATTGACGGGCGGTCGTAATTCATAGTTTTAGAAATGCAAAAACAATGCGAAAACACGCGTGTAGCCATATCTAAGGTAACAATACACTGCACTTTGCAATCACAAAAACCCTTCACACAAATCTAAATAGTTTAAACAAGGATCAGGGTTAGTTTACTATATGAAAAAAAAAAACTCTTATCTATATTACGAATAAGTAAGTAGTATGTGATCCAACGGTTCAGATAGTGTGAACCAATTATCTTACAAAGTGTATGATCATTGGTGTGAACACAATAAATATGAAACAACAGTTAAATGTTGCCAAGTAACAAAATTTAAATGTTTAGAAGATTTTTAATATTTTACGGTGGTTTAATTTTTTTTAATGTAGGTACTTCCAGGCCGCGTGGGCACTGTAACATAAGCCCTTTCATAGTGAAAGGAGGCCTGTGCCGAGCAGTGGCACTGTATATAGGCTATTAACTAAATATTATGTTGTTTATAAATTATAATATGTTTTATATTTTGTCATATAAGTAAATAAACGAACCTGTATCGCAGATGCCATGGACACACACATGGGTAGACAAATAACACCCAAACTCACGAGATTAAATAAATGTAGGCCATACAAATATTCCCCCGGACAAGGAATCGTACCCGGGACCTTTTACGTGGCAGTCAGTTTAGCATAAATATTTAGATTAACATATAAGTCAGTGTAGTTTTTATTGTCTAATTAGGTACTAGCGGTTTTGATCAATAAAGAGTAATCATTTTTAATATAATTTAATTAATTTGTGCCTACTAGCCGTCTATTAACAAGGATTAATAAACAGATTAGAGCTAAGATTATAATAATTAGTATTAGATAGTTGCGATATTAACCTAATATCAAGTAGAACACTGTGTTATGTCCATGAACTGTACTTTAACTATTAAAACATTAAGTACAGGGAGCCTTTTTTTAATGTCAGGAAATCCTCATGGATGCCCTCCGCCCGTGTGACGCGAAGGGTTATATAGGATTCCTTTTGATCAAAACCTGTTCCATCTGCTCACCTGTGCACCGCTGTGGCAGTGCCCCTCCGATCTATGCAATTTAAAGCTGTCAGTGGCACTGCAACTGTTATGGAAAGTACAGGGAGCCTACTAACCTAACCTTTTAGAACAATTTTTCTTTGTATACTTTAACCTTTCATTGAGTTTTCCTACCAAGACGCGCTTAAAGTAAGCTCATTATAATGTTAAAACGTGGTTACAACTATGATGTTTTATAGGCAGCTTTGTGGCTATTCTTTCACTGAATTCGTACCATGACGCGACATTGACATTACAATAATATTGTTCTTTTATCAAATTTAGCAATTGACTGAGGCAAATAACATTTATTGGATACATAAATATATATCTAGTAGCAAAAGACAGCTACTTATGAAAGAGTCGTTCGGGGAAGTACTGTCACCATACCTATTTCTGCCTCCAAATAGCATGAGCATTGCTGCATTTCGGTTCTGAAGGGTAAGGTTTCCAGTGAAACTACAGGCATATGGGACATGTGAACTGTATGTCTCCTGGAGCCGGGTGCAATGGCAGTGCCCCTCAGATCTTTACTTTAAAGTTTTAATGACACTTCAACTGTTATGGATAGACATATCGCTTTCCTCCAGGCCCACGACCTTGTTCCTTCTGTCACTTGGTATCGTAAAAAAATCACTATTAGTATTAAGAACAATTGACATAAGTTGGCAAGTTCCATGTGCTGTAATTTCGCGAGCACCCTTCAAAACTGGAGTGCAATAATGTTCTTTTTACTGCTTGGCGGCAGAAATAAGGTAAGATAGCAGTACTTCCCAGAACAAGCTCTTTCACAAGGAGCTCTACCATTACTAATGTACACATTAGTTCAGAATCCTCGCCATTTTTTAGCATTTACAAAATGCTATAACACGTTAGTGCATTTTGTTTAATTTACTACCTATATGTAAGACTTCGTCTGATGTTTCGCGTTTTTTTTTGTAACGTTGTTTTCTTATAAGACATCTCTATTTACATGAAAGGAAATTAGTAACTAATTTTACTAAAATATACAAAATTCCAAATTTAAAGTTTTTCTTTAACTTCTCATGGAAAGTAAAGGTGTGTGCACGATCGCCTAAAACTTGCTATTCACTCTGACCTAAACTACCTTTAACCAAACAATTACAGTGACTCACGAGGCTTTTCTTCGAATAGCTATAAAATTCCCAATAAGATAAATAACCTCAACTAGATGTTCTGAAGCAACAGCGAGCTCCTGACAACTTTGTGTTGGTGAGTCACTTGCGGGAAGCGGGCGTCCTTACACTGCGTATCAGATTGCACGCAAACCGACCTCCGACTAGGTTTAGCAATCCTACTATAATCTAGACATGATTCTAGATATTCAAAAACAATAACGGCCATGCCCTTTCTACACAAGTGATAACTAGACATTCAAAATTATGAGTGGGTACGCAAGCGACAATATTTCTTTTTATTAGTTGTGACCATTGTGGTCATAGAAATAGATGTGGCTTCTACCTCTGGCCGGGGAAACTAACAAGGCCCGAATAAGTCTCTGAAAGGAGAGATACCCCACGGCGTCACTCATCCGCTCGGAACACCTTCCTCCTGGGCCTGATCTACCTTGACAAACTTGGAAGTCCCTAAATAGGCTGCGGACCCAAGTCGGCCGAAGCAAGGAGTACATGCACGGGTGGGGTTACAGCTCGGAGAGCGCATGTCCGTGTGTTGTCTCTCCCCGGGCAATGGCACATATTTTGTCCTGCCCTGCGTGTTCCTACATCTGCACACGCGAGGACCTGTACAACGCCACTGATAATGCTATCTCAGTCACTAAGTACTGGTGCTCACAAATATAAACGTCATAGTCGACACGCCAAGAAGAAGAATAGATGTGGCGTATTATTTGGTATTTTACAGGCGTATCACTTTCACTTACCACCAGACACACGACTTGTTCGTCCCGTCCCTTAGTATTATAAAAAAACTTCACAAGCACATTTTTGGTGGGCGATGAGTGACTCTACGATAAGTCGTAAATAAATGCATACAGGTTGTGATTTCTCCACCTACATCCGCGAGTGTATTCTTCAAAACTCAATCAATAGTTATTTGTTATGCAAGGCTGCAAAGTTGTTGTTTGCTTGTATTGAATCCTAAGCGTAGCGAGTGTTTCAAGGCACGAGTCGCGAAACAACTTTGCTGCCGGGCGAAACACAACTTTTCACCTCACTATAGCGAGGAAAATGGTAGATGAAAGAAAATAGTTGAACTCATTGACTTACAAATAAATGGCGACGGGTCTAATACAAAAACCACAAAAAAAATGTCCCAAGTCAACCTATTTAAACGTAGTGACATTTCAAGGAATATGAAAAAGCTAAAACGTTGAATTTAAATTGTAATGTCATCGCAGTACTGTCTAATTTTGCTTGCTTCGCTGTCAATCGAACAAACGAAGACTAGAGCGTGAATGACGGTCTGTAATGATGTCCATATAATTGTAAGTCAATGGTTGAACTATAACAAATCAGTTTTTATCAACAATATAAAATATATGAACTGATTAATATTACATAAATAATGTACGTCAAATCGCGTAGTTGAACGTGTCAGTATGTTTTTTTTTTTCATCGAAAGAAAAGTGCACCACAGTCCATCGTCAAGTTCGATTTTCAAAAACCTTTTCCACGCTAGAGTGGAAAAAACGCTTTTACGCCCAGTAAAAGCTTTCCGAGCCAGTGAGGTGAAAAAGTTATTTCTTTATTAGTATGTAAATGCCCGTCCATACATTCGAGCACTACAGCAAGGAAACTTGCGCAAGTCAAGTAAAGGTCACATATGTGTGTTGTTTAAAGAAAAACGGTACCACTAGCAAGGGTGCAGACCTCAAAAGTCGCATTGGTACTAGTATACATCGTTGGGTCCTAATAATTTGATCATTTTCACTTTTTTGTAGGAAATCCTTAATTTCATTATAATCTATAAGGTAGCGTTAAAACAAAATCAAACATATTCAAGGAAACCTCGAAATACAAGGAAAATATACCAGATTGAAAGTTTGGAAGCCTCTCCTGTAAAATTGTGATTTTGCGCTTTGTCCCTTATACAAAGTACCCATCGACATGTAAGTACCAATGTGATTTAATGCCAATTTAAAAGTAAACCATTCACACCAAATTCGGATGTAGTATTTATTAAATTTGGTACATATTACTACTTACTTAATTTGTATTTATAAAATTCAAAATATAAATAAATAAATAGACCATTTTACAATAAAATTGAAATCAACTTTTACTTACACGAAGGTTATACTTATTTATATTTAATTTTACTTCTGACGATTTGTAATAATTTGTGCATTATTTATTTTCAATGAAATAATAATGTAATTAATTATAATACAAATTTAGATTTATTTAGAATATATAATTGACATTGCATTGATCAAACATGAACTCTCAAGGCATATGACAGGGTTCATATTTGATCCTGTACTGATTAATTCACGGCCTATGTATGTATGCAATAAACATTTTAATTTTGATTTATTTATTTATTGTGTACACATATACATTTACAGTGGCTTGTAAATGTATATGTGACACCCTAAAAGGCAAAGTGATACTGGCACTTACTAATTATAAAAGTATTAAAATAAATGCGATATTGTTAAATAAATCATTACAATTATGTATAAATAAGATAAATTAAGAATGATATAGAAATATGTTTAATTAAATTACATTTTGTCATTGAAAAATTCTTTAATATTATAACTAACTATAACTTTTATATACGAGGAATTCTTTTAAATTTTTAGAGAAAATTTTTAATTCTTTAATTTCTTTTATGTAAATTGATATGTGATTGTAAATTTTGGTTACTATAACTTGCTTAATTGATGTAGATTTCTATTGTTACGTTTAATTTGTAGTTATCCTTAGGTATAACCAGAAATACCTCAGTGGTGTCAAGCGCGACATGTAATCAAACGATTCAAGAATATATCGTGACGGAACCTTCAACAGAAAAAGTTCAACGTTGTTTAAAAACATGTAAAGACCCAGCCCGCTTTGTACCACTTCGGTGAACCTTAATTTCTATTCATTGATGAGACCAATGTCCAGCAGCGGGACATGAAAGTGTTATATGCGTCTATATCGTTATTTCAATACTAATACACGTACCTAGGTGTTGTGTATACGTAATATTATATACATTAAAAAATACTCCTTATCGTTTTATTTTAGCAATAAGATATAGAAACATAATTGCTGTGGTTTTGTCGGAAATTAAATGTAACACAGGCGTGCTAGCGTCACTCACCACTAGACACCCGAGTACACGACTTGTTCACCCCGTCACTCCATTTGGGATCGGAGAAATAGTTTCATTTCCAATTAACTTAGATATAATGATATAACATTTTTATTGTTTGAGTATCTTTAAACCTTAACCGTATTCACTGGGTAGCAAAGCCGAGTTTTAAAAGATTTTGCTTCAGTCTGTTTTTGGATTCTTCTGAAATGGGTTTCTGGGGAAGATGTGGTGGACCCATTCTAAGGCCTGTTATGAGTTCCATCGCAGCTTTCGATGCGCCTGCAGTTCCTGAAAATGTTTAACAATACATTTATAAACAAAAGAAACATGCAGATACTGACTCTTGTGCGACATTTAATTTGAAATTTGCCATTACATGTAATTCACCGAAAAGGTGCAGTACACCATCGTGAGGAAACCTACACGTCGAAGAAGGTTCATAATCTTGAAACATGTGAAGTCCCTAGACCGAATAGGCCCAGCGTGGCGGACTACGGCCTAAAACCCTCGCCTGAGAACGTGCCCAGCATTGGGACGTATAAATAGGTTGATGATAATGATGACGATGATGAAGAAGATGATGATCTACATAGTTACTATATATAATGATAATCTGCATAATTGACATGGGGTGCACGAAAGGGCCCACCCCGCAAGAACAAAGAAATTGTATTCCTAGTAGTATTTACATCTGACGCACCCTGGTCGGCAGTCACCCAATACCTAACACTGATGGGCAAATTATGACTTGATGACAAAACATGGAGGCTACTTGTGGTTTAGTTCGGCTTAGTTCTTATAATATAAGAAGACAATTAAGGCAATGAGTGTAACAAGGGCGTATCACGTAAAAATTTAATTCCAGAAAATTCCTATATCTTTTTTAGTGTTTATAATATGACTCTTAT